GGGTTCGATCCCCGACCGCGTCATGCCAAAAGACGTTAAAATATGGTACTTGTTGGTCCCTGTCTGGCACTGGGCATTAATGGGTACAACAAGGACTGGTCGGCAAGGAGTCAGTTTAATGTGTCTGAGTGGGGTATTCATGCTTCACTGCGGCATGGTATCTCAGTGGGCTAGCACTATAAAACCAGCTTAAGTCTGGGCTAGTACAAGCAGCCGCACATTCACACACACACGCATGCACGTCGTCATATGAGCGAAATATTCTCAAGCCCGACGTTAAACCCAATTTCACCTCTCACCTCACCTCACCTCACCTCACCTCACCTCACCTCACCTCACCCTACTGTTGACCCACTGGACAAATAGCTGGTGTGTCCACTAAACAAATCCCATGCACGAGAAACATATCCAGCCTGTCCACCAGACAATGTCAGTAAGCATGAATCAGGACAGTAACGATACAATCAAGTTGGACATATTATATATCTTCATATTTTGTTATTTAATGTTTGCCATAAGAAGCTGACAAAGTATCACTGTAATTATGAAATGATTTCAAACTGGCCCTGAATATTTCTCCTGATTGACATTGTCTGCACTTGTAAACTTTCACAACTATATATACTTTTGAGCTGTCATGTCAAAAGCTGTTGTATGTATTCACAACATGTCTGTGACGTACCTTGAGGAACAAACACAGATCAGGTGACCTGTGGAGGCACATATATTGGGGATCAAGGTCAGAGTAGGTCCATCTGTTGTTGATTAGATGAATTGAAGAAAGTGGATTGGTTGGTCGGGTTCTGTGGCTGATGGGTCATCTTGACGGAGTGGGAGGAGTCATTGCTCATGCTTTCACTCTCTGGTTTGCTATGACAAGGCTGCTGAAGCAGATGACCCTATGATTAACTGGTGCATAACAAGTAATTCCATGCTGATTTTTGTTCAACTCGTTTACATGATGATAACTTGAATTATGACTCTTGACAGTATAAAAGTGATCCAGGATGATATTCGCTTTGCGTTAAATTACAAGTGATTTGAAAAGGCTATGAAAAGGCCGTATATTTATTCAGAAACATTTGTACCAAACCTGGATGCTGTTGGACAAAGCAACTTTAGTGTTGAGGTGATCGTAACTCCTACAGTTTAACATAGACTTACGATAGTCGTAGCTTTAAGGTTGTTTAGTCATAGCTTTGGGATTGTTTTGTACAACAACACCATGGTCTCATTTGTCTTGAAACAGTGAGTGAAAGAATATTTAGTCTTGAACAAACATTAGATTCATATGATGACATTGCTGTTTCTTATCAGATCCTTGACATAATGGAGCTGGTGTTTAGCCCTCAGTATTTATGAAGAATGTATTTGGAAACAAATGCTGATGTGAACATTTGTTAGTGACATTCTCTGTTGACATCATAAACATTGAGGGGCGGTGGGGTAGCCTAGTTGTTAAAGCGTTGGCTCATCACGAAGACCCGGTTCAATCCCACATGGGCACAAAGTGTGAAGCCCATTTCTGGTGTCCCCCGCCGTGATGTTGCTGGAATATTGCTAAAAGCGGGGTAAAACCAAACTCAGTCAGTCAGTCAGTCATAACATTGACTATATAATAAGGTGAGCTACGATGACATGACACTATTTATTCATTACTGAAACTCTGTTACAATCATTTCAGGCTAAAAATTTGAATCTCGAAATTTTGATTTCCTTCAATATTTGTAAATTCTTAGTTGGTCAGATCCATAACCAAGTAATTAAAAAGAAACACCTTGCATCGAACAAATAATTGTTTAGGATGCTGCGTAATCCTTGTTGAGTCATTAAGTAAATACCAATTTCAAACACTTTGAACAAGCAGCACTTGATGTTCAATTATGATAAAAATCGCCAACCACTGTCACCTCATAAAACAGGTTCGATATTTGGGGACGGAAGCGGCTTGCTACCCACTGATGCTGCTCCAACAAAGACGTGGCTGGGAGGCAAATCAACAATCAGAATCCCCATCTGATATGAACAAAGTTTCAGTTATATTTAAGCGTGTCAAAACTGAACGGCTTTGCATCCCTCGAGATGAAGCGTAGGTCTTCCACTCAGATCTGGGAGTTAGCTGAGAGAAAAACACTCCCAAGTTAAATGCGTGATCAATAACGCTCTTAATTCATCATTATAGAAAGCACTTGAATATCACAATCAAAGGGGGAGATAACTCATGGTTGTTTCTATCAACATGGCTGACACTGAGAAGAGTATTTTCCTTATCTCTGTGTGCTGTGCTTGTTTCAAAGTTTTTGAGCCGGCTTCATGATTACAAAGTTTAAGAAAAAGAATGAGGGATTTTTTTCTTAACTACATGATTGAAGTTAGTTATTTCTAACAGAAAAAAGTAATTGAAAATCGTATGTCGTAAGGCTAAACCTTAAAAGATTGTGTTGTCTTCCTTGATAAAACAGTATCAACTGATCTACTAATTGGAATAAAAGCTTTGTTGCTTTAAGGCACTTGCGTATGGGAAATAAATCATGGAAATTATTTTCTAATACCTGATACCTTTGTCTGGTGATGGTAAAAGTATGGTCGAACAATGATGGATCTTCTTTGAACATTTAAGTTGGCATACCGATTTTCCCCTGCAAATCTTCGAGAACACAATAGGTCGGCAGTGCCCATGCTTGCTGAATATTGCTGGAAGGGTCGGCTTAGAATAGGAATAAGATGAACACAATGGCCGTTAGTATTAGAATAAGGATGCTGCAAAAAGTAAGATGTGTGTAAAATTATTTTATTTCTAATCCTTAAAACTGCTGAAGTCTTTGATGGCATTTTTAGTAGGGGTGACTTTTAGAGGGAAGCAACGATTTGTTGGACTTGATCTCGAGCAACATACTATTGCAATAGTTTATTTTCTCCTTGAATTGTCTCATTTGAAGTCATTTCCCAAATTAATGTGTACTTTATATGAAATAAAAACAAGTTGAAGTAGTTTCAGTCTCTTTTAATAACTGACAAGAAACTTGAAACCCAGATCAAGTAAACAGTTAAAACAAACAGGGTGGATAACTCAAAATCAAAGTGAACGAATCTGGTACTTCCTGTATTTTGTGCTGCCCATTTATCACCAGAAGTCAATTACTAATCTATCGATAGTCACACATACTATCGATACATCGATAGTTTTTGTTTCTACCATCGACTAATTGCTATCGGAGACTCAACAATTGCAAACAATCGATAGTTCGATGCATCATTACAGCCCTAATCTTTAGAGCAAAAAAGCAGAAATGATTTTGTTCCGTCTGCTTCTGTTTCAGGGTTGTGCTATGTGCCATTGCTTCGATCAGAAGACAACACAACAGTGCCTGTGATTGGTCAACCATGGTCACCTGACAATTCCTCAGACCTGACCAGGTCGCAGGTGAAGAAGAGTCCCAAGGACCCTACCCTCGCTGTGAGAGCCCGAGCAGGTCCTATGTCCCCATCTCAGGTGAGATGAGGAAGGAAGATGATTTACATGATGAATATGTCCAGATTATTTTTCAATGCATTTCTGGGTTGTGAATATTCATTAAAAACAAAAACTATACAATGCAAGCCATTGGTTTCATGTTAGAGGATGTTAAGCACGACATTTGATGTTATTCTGACAATTGGTGAAGTTTTCGCCCTAATTTCATTCACTTCAGAAACTTCAGACTGAGTAGGAATGTAAAGTCAGTGAGCTTCTTTGCTAGAATAGTGATGATTACTGCAATAGGGTAAGACTGCACCCCAAAATCCATAATGATTTCGCTTATGCTGAAATTACTTTTACTTTCTCCAACTATTATCTTTTCTTAATGTAACAGGAAACTGTCAGGGACAGTCATTATTTGAAACTCTCAATCATACACAATCATACTCTACACAGCAAACTGCAGTCTGTTAAATATAATTGAAGCGAATCATACCATGACAATTTGTTTCTAAAGAAATAAATACAGGACATAACAAATAGATATATTTTCAGTGAACATGTTGAAAAGTTAGTTGCTGGACAAAAATATCTGTTTGGAAATTAATTCCAATTCTTCTGGGGAATTTTATGCACAATTAGTCTTAGTCTCGAACTTGAGAACCTTGGCAAAAGGAAACCATATTTATGGGAGAGCTGGCAGGTAAGTTTGAAGCAGAAATAAGATTCCATACATAGTGTTCAGCATGACACCCAAAACCAAACCCTTTGTTTGCCAGCACCGAACCAATGCTTGTAGGTTTCAGCAAACATCTCAAGACCCTCATCAGAATGTTCTGTAGACTTCAAACTGACACACCATTTTCTGACTGCAATACTATTCAAAGCAATGTTCAATCAAACTGGTTATAAACACACACTTCCATGTCCAGCATCTGTTCCAGGCCAAGCTGTTTTACAGGCAGTGGATGGCCCCTCCTATCAACAGTCCTGTAGGGGACAAGAGGACGGTCACCATGATCAGGCGGCAAGATGGAGAGAAAGGAATGGAACGGATTGGAAGGTTCACTATTTCATAAGACTATACTAAGGATTTGTCCTCATGACTAAAGAGTCGAATTTAAATGTTGCGAATTGGCGGAAGCCCTAGTTATATAGATAAAGCTATCCCAATTTGAATTTCAGGTTGTTAAAAGGAAGGTTTCCAATGTGTTGTCAAAGCAATTGCTGTGGAAAGCAGGACCAGTCTCTCACTAATTCACTAACATGGGATTTATGTGGGAATTTGTTCCAGGAAGAAAATATTTGGCTATTCAGCAGCCCCTTTAAGAGAAGTAGTAAGGCCTAAAAAAAAAAATGTTGTGGTTCTGATTACCCGACAGACCCTTGAATTCTGGTGCCGACCCTACTTTTTTTAAGCGGAATGAATAAAATAAGCTTTCAGATACCATTGTTTTTTCCCGGCACCAACAGATGTCCGTCATTCTGATAGAGAAAGTCGATATGATGGCCGCAAGCTTGATTGAATAAACAATTACACATTGATAAATGTGTTATTAGTTTGTACTTTACTTCTAAAAAAATATGTAAAAAAAAAAGAAATTCCCACCTACCTACCTTAAATTTTTAATAGGTGTAATTGGAACCACAACATTTTATTTATTTGGCCTAACTAGGAAAAGTATTCTGAGAACATCCATTTGTCATCATTCTACAATGATTAAGCATCTGTGTCTCTAATTTCAGACAACTGGCTCATGAGATGCATATCCCTTGGTTAGAGTACTGGGAATTCCTGGATGAATTTGTGGACTTCTCCACAAATGAAGGCCTTCAGAAACTGGAAGATCATTTCAAGAAACAACAGATATCAGCTGTCTTCTCCGAATGTCTGGAGAACTTTGGCCCTCTGAACCTGTTGGATAACTCCTCTGTGTTCTGTAACACATCACAAGGGGATCTGCAGTCAAGTCTCTTAGATCCAAAGACGAGGTTGTTAATCCAGCCAAGTTCCTTGTCCTCAATGAGCAATAATCAAGAAAATAGAGGTCCGGAGGAACTGGAAGAGAATCTGCCCGAAACTGTAGAAGGTTCTGAAGGGTCTGGATCCATCTGTGATAACAATAACAAACCCAAAGGGTGTAGTACAGACTCAGAGAAAGAGACAGAAGGGTCTCAGGGGAAAAGGGATGTGTGGTCATATAGGGAGCCCGCGGAGGGCACAGAACTAGAACGGGAATCTCCTGAAAAGAAGGCCAATGTGGCCTCACCTGAGAAAGAAGGTACAAGTAAGAGTGTTCTGAATTCAAGTCAAATCATGAAAACCATTAGATTTGGTAAAAAGGAGGAAGAGAAGAAGTCGGATCCATGGGCATACCGACAGGGCCTTGGAAATACAAACACTGACAGATCTTCACCTTCAAAGAATGAAAGCTTTTCGAGTCCTTCAAGGTTGGACTCTGAAGGTAGTACAAGCTTTGATGATAGTGTTTTGGCAACATTTTCCGGCATGAAGTTATCAAGTGGTGATGAGGAATTTCACACCCCAGAGTCCCAACCGAGATCGGACAGCGAGTCTTTCAGAACACCGAACCAACTAGATGTGTCTATCAATACAGCAGTCACAAATCTCTGTGATGATTTGAAAAGGAAACTGGTTTTTACACCAGAGCAACAGTCATCTCTGTCAATCGGAAGGATGGTTGGGTGTCCCTATGGTAAAATATCAGTTCCTTTGGGCAATTCACACCATGCAAATGATGCCTTCCGTATTCTCTCAAATTCCAAAATGTTGGATCTGGATGAGGAGGAAGAATCTTCTGATCAACCTGCTCCGGTGTTGGTTGGCCTTGACCCCAGAACGGCAGGGTCTGACCCTTCTTGTCGTAGTTGCAAATGTTTGGGTTCTCAATGACTCTTTACATACATCAAAAGTAAATAATGTTTTCCTGAACACCAAGGTCTTGCTAGAAGATTCTAAGATGAGGAATCAACTTCTGAACATCGAAGGTCCTAAACTGATGACCATTGACATTTCCTGTGATGAAAAATATACCACGAGACAACGAACTGTGCCAGTACAAGCCCTCTTTTTCCAGGCTTCAATGACCCCAGTGAATGTATATATTCATGGGTAGGTTACTCATTTGGTTTCTATATAGTGTTGTCTACAGTGTCATTTTGAGAATGAAATAAGGGAGGTTTTACTACAAGCTCCAGATCAGCCTCTACAATGTCTGTCTGACCTCACTGGTTCCTGGGTCAGTCTGTACAATGTCTATAGTGTTAGTGGTTTCAGACTAGTCTGTTTCATGTCTGTATAAAAGAGTTCCAGATCAGTCTGTATGAACCCGATCCAGATCAGTCTGTACAATGTCTGTATAAACCCGATCCAGATCAGTCTGTACAATGTCTGTATAAACCCGATCCAGATCAGTCTGTAAATGTCTGTATAAACCCGATCCAGATCAGTCTGTACAATGTCTGTATAAACCCGATCCAGATCAGTCTGTACAATGTCTGTATAAACCCGATCCAGATCAGTCTGTACAATGTCTGTATAAACCCGATCCAGATCAGTCTGTACAGTGTCTGTATAAACCCGATCCAGATCAGTCTGTACAATGTCTGTATGAACCTGTTCCAGATCAGTCTGTACAAACCGCTCCAGATCTCTGTACAATGTCTGTATAAAACCGTTCCAGATCAGTCTGTACAATGTCTGTATAAACCGGTTCCAGTTCATTTGGTACAATGTCTGTATAAGCTGGTTCCAGATCAGTCTGTACAATGTCTGTATAAACCGTTCCAGTTCATTTGGTACAATGTCTGTATGAAGCCGGTTCCAGATCAGTCTGTACAATGAACTGGTTCCAGATCAGTCAATATCCGTATGAACCGGTTCCAGATCAATCTGTCAATGTCTGTATAAACCGGTTCCAGATCAGTCTGTACAATGTCTGTATAAACCGTTCCAGATCATTTGGTACAATGTCTGTATAAACCGGTTCCAGATCAGTCTGTACAATGTCTGTATAAACCTGTTCCAAGATCAGTTTGGTACAACCTGTCTGTATGAACCGAACCCGTTCAAGATCAGTCTCTACAATGTCTGTATGAACCGGTTCAAGATCATTTGTTACAATGTCTGTATGAACCCGTTCCAGATCAGTCTCTACAATATCCATATGAACAGGTTCAAGATCAGTCTGTACAATGTCTGTATGAGTGAGTGATTTTAGTTTTAGGCCACACTCAGCAATATTCCAGCTACATGGCGTCGGTCTGGAAATAATCGAGTCTGGACCAGACAATCCAGTGATCAACAGCATGAGCATCGATCTGCGCAATTGGGAACCGATGACATGTGTCAACCAAGTCAGCGAGTCTGACCACCCGATCCCGTTATTCGCCTCTTACAACAAGCATGGGTTACCGAAGGTTCATTCTAACCCGGACCTTCACGGGCAATGTCTGTATGAACGGGTTCCAGATCAGTCTGTACAATATCCATATGAACCGGTTCAGGATCATTTGGTATGAACCGCTGTATCAGTATGAAAGATCAGTCTGTATGAACCTGTTCCAAATCAGTCTGTACAATGTCTGTATGAACTGGTTCAAGATCAGTACAATGTATGAACCCGTAAACCGGTTCCACATCAGTCAGTACAATGTCAAGTATGTAACTGGTTCCACATCATCTGTACAATATCCGCATGTACTGGTTCCACATCATGTACAATCTGTATGAACCGGTTCCACATCAGTCAGTACAATGCCTGTATGTACTGATTCCAGACTGAAGCATGCCAGGCCGGACCTGGACGTCCTTTGCGAGCAGTGAACCGGCCAAGAGTGAACAGCGGCAAGTTCCCATTGATTGAGAGATGGTTGCAGAGAGTGTCCTCACTGGCTAACGACAACAAGCAGAGGTAAGACATCACTAGCCGGTTGACCTCAAGTTCTCGTTTTAACCTGTATTGCAATTTGACAGGAATCAATAGTGGTCACATGAACAAAATTACATACCATCACATTAATCCAAGGTGGAAATGTATCTCCAGCAAGGTATGTTGTGAGTGAACATGTAATGTGTTGATCAGATTCAGTGACTTGCTTGACTGCATGTCGTTTTTAGGGCTGCTCAATATAACTGGTTTACCGGTATTTACCGGTTCAGACATGAAAACGATACGTATTGCGATACGCTGATCGAAAACCGGTATTTTGACATGCATTCGGAAAACTTCGTAACACTCGGAAATCTTCGGATATTTCCGTTTTTTAAATTGTTCCTTTCCTTGTTTCATTTGTGCCAAACATTATTTACATTTTTATTTTGTCAAGATTAAAAGTTTTTATTAACGCCTAATCAAGCATTGTGATTTTGTTGTGTTTTTACTTTATAAATCAAGCATTAACTCGATTATACATATTTTTTGTTAAAGAAAACTTCTTGCAATATATTGCAATACATATCGCAGTACATGCTTTCGCATCGCAATTTATCGCAATATGAAAATTCCTTGCAATACCCACCCCTAGTCATTTTACGCCAACAGATGGATCACTGCTCACAATGTTAAGCACTGATCCAAACCTCCTCATTAACAGGCTACCATCATCAGGGATTTACAGGACGCGAATTCCTGCGTCCTATATTCATAAAAATTGACAATGGACACAACAAAACTTATTAGCACCTCCACAGGGACGCAGAAAAAGTCCAAATACTTTTTGTAAAAATTTCGATCAAGTAACAATAAGTTATCAATGAGTCTGCTACTACCCGGGTTATGGTATTATTTGCAATTCAATTACTGTAACAATGTGATGTTCATGATACACAATACAATAACAGTAACTGAATTACAACAATATTACAACACAGTATTAATAATAATATTTAAGTGTCTGGGACCCCCATTTGTAGTCCAGGACCCTTGAAAATTAAGAGTGTGAGTCCCAGGGACCCTGAAATATAGGACACAAGGTAAAGCCCTGCGTCATATAGCAGGAATATGGCTGATTGGTGTGTGAAACAATGGTTTGTCTCATTCGGTTTTATCTTTTGAGTTAAGTGTGGTAAATCCACCCCCTCTCTTCCTGTTTAGGTTGGATTAAACTAGTGGTGTCCAACTGAAGGAAAGGTCTGATCACAGCCTGTAGCAAATTAGTCTGTCAGTCACCCTGGAGTGAGTATTCTGGGATGTAGGACAGTGTGCCAAATAGTTTCCAAATTTTGCTAGCCAGACAGGCTAGCAAGCCTGAAAGTTACTGGCCCATAAAATTATTCACTGGCCTGAAATTTGAATGTAGACACGGATTTCATCATTAAGCTGCTGATATGATGAACATTCTTATCAGGCCATAATCTTGCATGATTTAAGAGTGTATTAGAACTTATCAAGTCGGAGAGAGTGATATACATGTATTTACAAAATGACCCCATAAATTTCACTAGCCAGTCGGGCCAGTGACTAGAGATTTAATGGCCTGACTGCATTTTTACTAGCCACGGGCTAGCGGGCCAGTGGCTATTTCGAACATTGATGTTAGATGCCTGTTTTGTTCATATTGTATTAGCTATGAGGGGCGGTGTGGTAGCCTAGTGGTCAAAGCGTTCGCTTGTTAAGCTGATGACCTGGGTTTGATTCCCCACATGGGTACAATGTGTGAAGTCCATTTCTAATTTGGGGATCATATCTCAAAATTTCCTGATAAGTACCATTTAATGGATTCGGAGTGGAAATGTTAGCCTAATCATAAAAGGTAACTGCAACTCAGTCAGCTCTTAAAATTCATGGAGCAAGTTGAAAAATGGAAAACACATGGAATTGACAGACTTTACAAATCAGAAAATTTTAAAAACGGCAAATTGAAACTGAAATCCAAGCCCTCACTATCTCTGAGTAATTCTGTGGTTTCGTTTATCACTGACACACCCATTCCCTTTGATTATATCTCATCATGTTAATCACTGTCCTTTAAAACACAGAGGTGACAGAAGTTATCTCCCTTTAGTCATCAGTCTTTACAGTCGACTTTAGATTTATCACCATCAGTAAAATTACATGTTTATTTGTCTTCTAGTTTTTATGTATTTATGTCTATTTAAGATCTTAAAATTAACAGAACTGAAGAATTATCAACGTCAAAATTCTTAAATGGGTTAATTTTAATAAAAATTGCCATGTCTGTTATGGATTTCATAGGTTTGTTACAGTGTTCGGCCATGTTGTACATGTTCTATTTGTAGACAGACAAGGCATATCTTATTCCATAAAAGTAAATGTCAGTTACATATGAAATAAGAATTTTGATACACATTTTTTCTCAGTGAAATACTTCATATACATCTCCAAGCACCTGGCCCCAGGATCATTGTGTCTAGGTCAGAAAATTGTTTAGCACGAAGTAAGTCTGTGTACTCAGTGGCAGACTTAAGACTTTAGATTTTCTCAAAGAAAGTCTTAAGTGTTCAAGATCCCCAATTTAAGACACAATTTATAGTCTGTTTGCAGTGAAAACGTACCGATGAATCTCACTTGGCGATTTGGCAAGGTAAAATTATGAGGATTCGCAATCTTAATTTCACTTTATTTGATTTACTTTTTTGTTTTAAAGTGAAATTCATCAGTACGTTTTCACTGCAAACAGACTATAGTCTTAAGTCAAAACTTTAAGAATTAAGACAAAATATGGACTTAAGACACTTCCATGATCCTGAGGCCAGGTCTTCTGTGGTAACTTGAGATGTAATGTTAGATGAGAGGCAAGAGCCAACTGATGTATACCTAAGATAAAGATGCAAGACAATTCTCCACTAAGGCAGATGATTCTGGAATAAGCTCCTTGCAGCTCTTTCCAGATCTTTCTGTTTGAATCTAGTACAAGTCTAAACATGGCACACCACAACTCCTCACTGAATATCACTTGTACAATGTTTTACACTTGGAATATTGAAAATAAAGCTGCCACTTAACAACATTTTGATTGTTTCTTCTTGTTCTTCATGCTTTGACGCCAATTCAGGCCGGTTCGATTCCCCACATGGGTACAATGTGTTAAGCCCATTTCTGGTGTCCCCGCCGTGATATGGCTGGAATATTGCTAAAAGCAGCGTCAAACCATTCTCACTTACTAATTCAGTTGTGCAGTTATGTCAGCTAAATGTGGGTTAGAACCCGTAGCTATATGTGTATTGGATGTTTAACACTGTAGTAAAACCCTTGAGCACTTACAGACAAACCAAGAAACAATATCAGGGGAACCTGGATTAGAACCCACGATCACAGTCTTCTGACAAACAACGTACTCTTAATATGATTCAGTTATATTTGGGAATTGGTTGTTAACATATTGATATAATTCCAAAGGGATCTCAGTTAGAATTGGTCTTCAGCAACCCATGCTTGTTGTAAGAGGCAACTAACAGGATTGTCAGGCTCTTTGAATTGGTTGACACATGTTATCATATCAATTGTGGAAATCGATGCTCATGCTGTTGATCACTGGATTATCTGGTCGAGACTCAATTATTTACAGACCCCCGCCTTATAGCTGGAATATTGCTGAGTGCAGGGTCAGACAACAACAATTATTCCAAGGAGCACATAAACATGTTTTTAAATATAGTTCTCTTATTTGATATGCTTTTGCGTATAAACAAAACTTTTCAATATTTTTTTTCGTTTCAGTTGGCCTAGTCCAGCCCGTCTGCGACGAGAAGCATTGGACAAGGTCAGTACATCACCTCGTGGTGGAGGTATTCTCAGTCCACTGGTGTCCACCAGCCCCTACAGCCCACAGAGGTCAAGGCCGTTCTTGTCCTCCCCTCTCATCGGGAACTGGACGCCCAGGGCGGCCCTGTTTCAGTCATCCCCGATGGCTCAGCCGGTGTCTAAGCCAGTTGAAAAGTTTAAGCCGGACTTGGACTTGTCAGCAAAGGAGAAGGACTCTTCCCATTAATGAAAACTTTGTACATTTGTGTATAAGATTGTCATTAAATTATGTAGTTTATTACTTGTTACTCTGAGTTCTGTTGTAACCTGTGTACATGGAGGATGAAGAAGATTCTTTATTTCTGAAAATGGACAAAATGAAGACTTCTCAGACTTCTCGTGTCAGATGTTCATCATGTTCATTCTTAAGATAATGAGGCGGTGGGGTAGTCTAGTGGTTAAAGCGATCGCTCGTTCGTCACACCAAAGACCTGGTTCGATTCTCCACATGGGTACAATGTGTGAAGCCCATTTCTGGTGTCATCGTCCATGATATTGCTAAAAGTGTCATAAAACTAAACTCACTCACTCACTCACTTTGAAGATAAGGAGGTTGTGAAAAGTGCAGATATGATTAGATTCAAATCCAGAGAGAGAGAAAGAAAATGAACTATTTTAATATGTCATTTCAACATTTCATTAAGCCAACATCTGAATTTGTTAAGGGAACCCCACATGTTCAGAAAACAGTAATGTACAGAAGACCTTTGTAAAGTGCAACGGAGGTTCATTTTTCAGAAAAATTGACTTGATAATGTACACAGTTCCCTCTTCTTGCAGCTCGGTGATTACAAATTATGTCTCCCTCATAAATATAATATTTGCGCTAACCAAAATATTACCACTTAGGACTGATAATCTGTAACATCTTGTACAACCCTTGGTTTTATTCCTACCTATAATTGCATACTGTCATTCCTATATTATTCAAGGGGGAGGTGAGATTTGTCTGACTTTATGGCATTTCAAGAATCTTATTTCTTGAGGTGCAGCCGTCTGAGGCACTAACATTTACCAGTCAGATGTGCTTATCAGGAACCTAAAACCATTGGTTTGAATCCCATGTTTCAAGGCCTCACAACATGGTATGTTGGTTTCACAAGTCCGTGAATTGATCTTCAGCAACCCATGCTTGTCGTAGGAGCTGACTAACAGGATCGGGTGGTCAGGCTTGCTGACTTGGTTGACACATGTCATCGTACCCAATTGCGTTGATCGATGCTCGTGCTGTTGATCACTGGATTGTTTGGTCCAGACTTGATTATTTACTGATCGCCGCCATGTAGCTGAAATATTGCTGAGTGCGGCGTAAAACTCGCTCAAACCATGCCTTTGTACTGACTGCGAGACATTGACACAAACTTGAAATTGAACTAGCTGGATGCCTGTCGGAGCCGTTTGCAAAAGGTCTTGGCCTCAACTTGGAAGCTTTCAACCTTTCGTACTACTGACAAGGGGGTCATTTCTCGCTGTAATTATGTCCCCAGCTTGGTTGCAGATATTAGTGAAATATAACGTATGTCATGTCGGACGGTATTTCAAAGGCGGACATGACTGTATTTACGCCACTTGTAACTGGCAGAAATCGATCTATTATTGTAGTTAAGCCCATGGTCAAGGGAAATAACACGCATCATCAGTTTGGGTAGATTGCCTGCTTGTCATGGAAGATCCGGTAATGCGTTATGAGAATTGAAATATTATGTCTGTCGTGTATGCGAATACAAACTGCTTGGGTGGTATTGCTACAAGGGAGGCAACTCCGTTAGGGAAATGGTAATAGAATATGTCACCTGTCTGGTTTCTAGCGTGAGGCGGTTGAAATGTGTCATTATACCCCGGTTTTAGTGGGAAAGCGTACTATTATATGTTTAGTGGAGAGCCATTTCCTTGATGTTTTACCAACATGAACAGCAAGATTGTTCGCGCTTCCTGTACACATAATGTGTCCTGAAACTCAGGTCTTCTAAAAGACAATCCATCATCTTTTAAAACAATGGGACCCAAGGCCGACTCGTCAGTTGTTGAAACTGATAATATTACTTCTTGGGCCTTGGTATCTCCCAATCAAACCCCGATCTAAAACCTACAGCGTAATGGCTTTCGTCCGTCTGAGACGGCTCGGAACCCGTGAAGGTCCGGGTTAGAATTGGTCTTCAGTAACCCTCGCTCCGGTGACGGAAGTGGCGATCAACGCGGGATCGGGTGGTCAGGCTCGCTGACTTGGTAGACACGCGTCACCTTATCCTAGTTGCGTAGATCGGTGCTCATGTTAACTTGTTGATCGCTGGATTGTTTGGTCCAGACTCGAATATTTACAGACCGCCGCCATATAGCCGGAATATTGCTCAGTGTGGCGTTAAAGAACGCACCAACCAACTTAAACCGCTTGAGTGAATGGGTTTAGTTTTACGCCGCACTCAACACTGTTACAGCTATATGGCGGCTGTCTGTAAATAATCGAGTCTAGACCAGACAATCTAGTGATAAACAGCATAAGCATCGATCTACGCAATTGGGATACGATGACATGTGTCAACCAAGTCAAGGAGCCTGACCACCCGATCTCGTCAGTCGCCTCTTACGACAAGCATGGGTCACTGAAGATCAATTCTAACCCGGATCTTCACGGGTGTTAGACCGCTCGATGGTTGAGAGACTTTGATAAAGTCAAAACATTGATCACACAACAGTCTTGTTTCCTGCTGATCGGGTTCCGTCCTGTTGCGCAACTTAGGACAATTACCAGTCCAGTATTTTTGATATATGTACACTTGTATATTTCAACATACGTTACACAAAATAGAAACATTGAATAAGCGCACAGAACACATAACAGGTGTAACCAGTGAGCCAGATGAATTGTGAACCATTTTACGACCTCATCAAACAGGCAGTCTGTGACGTCTTTGTTAAACCTCGCCATAAAATACGGAAATACGATTTTATTAAAGTTTAAAATTCATTTGTAAATACCATTTTCTCATGAAACAAGGAATTGGAAATCAGGGTAACCATGGTTGTTTGTAGTGTCACTTTCACACGAGAAAATTCGGATCGGCTGAAAAGTAGGTCATTGTCTGAATTGTTTAATGAGACTAACGTTTCGGCTTGTAACGCCGCTTTCAACGGTATTCCAGGTATATGAGGGTGTGATCGTGATGCAGCTCTCAGACTTTAATCACTTTGTCGAAATCCACGAGCATGGGTTTGCTGCTAGATCTAGAACTATATTCGAGTCGAACCCGGATTCCAACCCATTATGACTTTCTGGCGTGCCCATGGCAGCAACTATGCACAGCGAACTTTGGCGACTTTGATCACTCCATTGTCTCCTTTAACACCATTTACAACTATAAACCGGGGTGGTGGGGTAGCCTAATGGTTAAAGCGTTGGCTCGTCACGCCGAAGACCCGGGTTCGAATCCCCACATGGGCACAATGTGTGAAGCCCATTTTTGGTGTCCCCCGCCGTGCTGTTGCTGGAATATTGGTAAAAGCGGCGTAAACCAAACTCAGTCAGTACAACTATAAACCACAGCTGTACCCGACGCAGAAATGTGGCGAATGGACACAGAAACCCCCCAACTACTGCATCCGGAGAGACGCACAAAAATACCAAGAGAGTTCCTACAGCGCATCACAAAGTACGTATCTGTGGTCACAATCACCACTGTCATCAGACCGTGACCACTGTCCACGTGATCACTGATTCATTCCAGGCTCTTGAATAATTATTTGAATGTACACTACTACACCATTTCAACACTATACAGGAACCTCATATATTTCCAGCAAGAACCCGTAAAGTGTATTATAAGTCAAGGTTAAACCCTGTGTAAACATTAAACTTAAGGATTCCTAAAAATAACAGTTTGACCTTAAACTTTATATTATACTTTATTTGCTTTCTGATTAATATATGTATATTATATTACTGGAAACCTTTTTCTATCAAACATAATAAAAGAATTGAATTTCAATGTTTTATTTTCTTCAGATTCCTGTTTTGTATGTCGGCAGGGGTTTGCTGGTATCACTTGTTTCGATGTATTCCGGTTATATCTTTCGAGTCCTGATGCGTTTCTACAGGAGGTATGCGTGATATACGAAGGTCTAGAGTCTGCCCTGAGTGGAATTTATACCCGAACCGGTCCCCAAGAAACACTGGGTAAAGAAATGTGCGTGTGATATCGGAATGGTCGTACACATTCCGGGAATCTCGGCTAATTCCGCTACCTACAAGTCAGCAATGGAGTGGTGATATATGAATCGTCGCTGAACCCTGTCACGCCAAATCCTGCCGCATATAGTTCTCAGAACGCTACGGCGATTTTGATGACAGGTTATTCCGTGTTGAATAGGTTTAAACATTGATTCAAAGATACCTGAGACATTGAATCATTATAATCGTTCACGTTGATAATCATGTGCACTGTACACGAGTCCCCCAAGCGAAGGCTGAGAATCTCTTCTACGGAGACGAATCGAGTGGGAGATAACTCTGTAACTAATATTACTTCCAGATTAGGAAGTAAGAGTTAGCGCCCTTTGAATTGTGACTGCAGATTGTGCACCCTCCCACCCTCCTTTTGTGGGCAAGAAACCTTCCTGTCTGCACTATATGATGTTTCACCTTACTTAATTGCCACTTTCGTCAACAGACATACCCATCATTTGGCTGTCTGGATTAACACACGCAACAACGTGTCCTGTGATGCACATACCATTAATATTGTCGGGCTGAGGTATACCCTTACTCTTCCTTTCACTTTGTGAATGTGTTGGTCACTAATACAGTCAATATTGCTGATACATTCACGGTCACTTGACAACAGACACGATCAGGAAGTGCATGTCCTTCAGTTCCCTCTCATGGAAGCGGTGCTCCCCCTTCGTGACCCGGGCATGCCGGTAGGGGGCGGCAGTAGGGTGTTTGGCGAGAGTTGTTTGGATGTGTCCTCCACCTTCACCTGAAGAGTGAGAGGGTCGATCTTGGCCTTCCGGAACGTCCGAGAGTATTTGGCGTAGCTGTCTTCCTGCTTGGCCAGCGAGTTCCTCAAGTGTTCCCGCGAGTACTTCTTTATCTTCTTGTCGCCCGCCAAGAATTCCCTGAAGAAGAGCACGACCGAGATTAAAGCATTGTTTGTCGAACATGGATACTCATACGGATATGGAATTTATTTATGACAACAAATGCAACGTACTGGTGATGTATAGAAACGTGGGTGAGTATGGTTTTACGCCGCGTTTATGAATATTCCAGTAATATCATGGTGGGTGACACCAGGAATGGGATTCACGCGTTGTATCCATGTGGGGAATCGAACCCGGGTCTTCGGCGACGAGCTAACGCTTTAAACACTAAGTTATCCCACTGCCCTTCGGAAATGTGGAGAAGAAGGGTTATATACACGTGGATAATTGATGTTGATAAATCCATGCAACTATCTTCTTTGTTCATAACGCTGCCCGCAGCAGTATTCCAGGTCTATGGCAGCGAAACCGTAAGTAATCGATTCTGGATAAGACAATCCAGTGAGCGATATTCTGAGCAACGTCCAGCTATAATCAACCAAGTCAGCGAGTCTGATCACCTGGGCCTAGATTTTCGAAGCTCTCTTAGCGCTAAGATAGTCGTAAGTGCCATACAATAACATTAACTTACGACAATCTTAGCGCTAAGAGAGCTTCGAAAATCTAGGCCCTGGTCCATTCGGGTGCGGTTTACGGCCAGCACAGGTTGCTTGGAGACTGTTCCAAGCCGGACTCACCACCGGGTATTGGCAGTCAATTCACCAAGTTTGAAACGTTCTATGTTAATCTCGACCAACACATTAACAAATAATGACCCGATAATGCATAATCGAGCATGAAGACGATTCAAAACTCAAAAGCGGCCTACTGACATCGCGGAAAAGTAATTTTACAAAACGAGCATGAGTTGGGTTGATTACGTCACTGGAAATGAGGTGTATGTCATGGCATGAGTGGTCCAAGTCACGTCAACACGTACCATTTGTGGTGTTTATGGAACTAGACACTTTTATACAAGTCTTGAGACAAAAGAATACTTCGGTATTCTTGAAACTCACGATGACCTGCAAACAATGTACACCTGGGCCCCGTTGCACAAAGCAATCTTGGCACCGTCACAAGTCTATGTTACTATAACCAGGGAGACTAAGATTATCCCTTGTATAACTTACGATCGTCTTAGTACTAAGGCCGCTTTGTGCGAGCGGTCCCTGATGTTTTGTCAGCATCATAGGTAGACAATGATCAGGTAGATAATGTTTGTGATGTGTAAGATTACCAATCAAAAGAATGGCCTTCAAACCAGGTGTATTTACCAGTTGTATGCTTTCTTTCGTACGTCAGTTTATCAGATGGAATTACTTACGCAAGGTCGATGGTACCGTCTCCATTAGTGTCCATAAACCGCATGATCTTGTCCACCACGGACACCGTGCACGGCAGTCCTGCTTCCTGACAACAACAATAGCCAACAATTAGCACAATTACTAGATGGTAATCGAATACATACTAATAAATATCTGCTAAATCTATACTACTCTAAGTTTAGAGCCACCTCAATAGTTCACATCACTTTACAAGATCAACCATAGTAATATGAACGAACCAGATGGTCCTTTACTTCGTGTGAGTAGTATATAATTTCTGAGGCTAGTCTACAGCCTGTCCGGATATCTCGAAGTCAAGCACTTTCCTGGGAAATTATTCTACACTCGAAATATCGCATCATGGTATTTCTGTTCAAATAAATAAGGTTTAACTTTGAGATCACCAGGTTGGTAATGAAGGGTAAGTTTTAAGATACTGGTTCTTTGTTTTTCAGATACTGGTCCTGGGTTCGGATTCAGAATTTACACATTTTCCATTCCTTGTTTATTAATATATAACGCGTACTCAGGACAGTGGCAAACACCAGCGACAATGTTCCCTGACAATAAGAAAGGTCGCTGAACTGAACCCCCTCAACAATGTTCAGAAAGGCAGCAACGATTTTACTTCATAGGAAACCAATTTTAAAGGAAATATATTTAAAATCAATAGAAAATACATGAAACTGCATTTATTGTTATTATTTTTTACCTCACCCCCTAAACGGGAGAGGGGATAACCCTGTATGGGTAAAGAGAGTGGAGCCTATTTTGGTGTCTTCACAGTTAACATCCTGGACGAAATTGTTGAAAAGTACATACCTTAAACAACAGGAAGAGTTCGTCTCTCGTCAGCCCGTCGTCTTTGTCCTTATTGATCTTCTCGAAGAAGTCCCGGGCTCTGTTCTTCTCCTTCAGCAGGTACAACATGTGCAGGGGGTCGATGTTATACGCCTGGGGCTTCTGCAGCTCTTTCATCATCTCCTCGCGAGTCTTCTTCGTGATTGGTAGAGAGACTTCGTACGTCACTTCCAGGTAGCGAGATTCCCGGATCTTCTCGAGAATACCCTCGAACTCCTTGTCGACCACCACGCCCTGAAGGAGGAAGGAGATGTCAGATATGTTTATATTCGTTCAGCGAGGTATAGTGGACAGAAATATTGCTAGGAAGATAACGCCATTTTGTTAATTTTCAGCTCCGTGTATCACAAACCCTTACAGAGCGAATGACTGCTTATCACGATTTCAGCTGTTGTCCTCAAGCTAGAGGCCATACAAGTTATACAATTCTTCACAACGATGCCAGATGATTCTTCATACGGATGTCAGAGTGAGTGAGTTGGGGTTAACGCCGCTCTTGAGGAGTATTCCGGACATATCACTGCAAGTCAACCAGTGGTGATGCTGATGTCAGACGTTTACCACGGTAGTGAAACCCACGGCCAAGAGTTTAGTGACCTGATACAATACCTGAATTTGCAGCTCCTAATTTTTGGAATATTTCTAGTGACTGAATTCGGCTAAAATCCGTTTTTAACCGTACGTTATTTTCAGTTGTGCAGGTACAATGTGTGAAGCCCATTTCTGGTGTCCCCACCCTGATATTGCTGGAGCATTGCTAAAAGAGGCGTAAAACCATACTCACTCACTATTTCAGTTGTGCAGTTATGTCAGCTAAATGTGGGTTAGAACCCGTAGCTATACGTGTATTGGATGTTTAACACTGTAGTAAAACCCTTGAGCACTTACAGACAAACCAAGAAACAATATCAGGGTGAACCTGGATTAGAACCGACGATCACAGTTTTCTGACAAACAACGTACTCTTGATATGATTCAGTTATAAATCCTGTATAAACCTGTCTACTTATAACATTATTAAATCATAACTTCCGTAATTAAAGTCTTTCAAATTACATTTCTGACTTTTATTTATTTTAAGGTAACATTTCATTTTTATGATTTACTGGCGATGATGTTCCAAGATGATGGTGAGGAAGGGAGGGTCAACATACGTCCATGTGCAGCTGCTGGATTGCTCCGTGAGGATGCTTCAGTATCGCCTCCAGGAGGACACTGGTGAAGGAGGCCGTGATAGGATTGTGGCCAATCTACAAATGAAACACATATTCCACGGAAATAATACACAATGAAATCTTGTTACACAAACCATATTTCTTTCTTGTCTGAGTCAATGAGCTAACTGTTGGTTAACGCTGTGATTCATTTCAGTATACAAAAGGAGAAGTGCTGTTGCCTAGCGACTGAAGCCTTCGCACGTCACGCCAATGATCGGGTTCGATTCCCTACATGGCTACAATATTTGAAGCACATTTCTAGTGTCTTCCGACGTCATATTGCTGGAATATTGTTTAAAGTGACGTAAAACCATACTAACTCCTTTTTACAGAACATTTTCTGCATTTCATCTTTTCACCTTGTCAGGATCAACTTGGAGCAGTTGTGTGAACGAATGAATATTGTTTTACGACACAGGCAGTAGAATTCCATCACAATCACGACTAGGATCTCCAGAAACGTGCCTCATACGTGACCCTTTACTAAAACTGGGTATGGTGTGCGTCAACCAAGGTTCATAATCGGGCCAAGTTAAGATTCAAATCTCGTCAGCTGATCCTAGTACAGCAAAGGGACAACACTCTGTACAGTGGAGTGCGGCTCCTTATATTACGGGACCAACCCTGCTCACCTTGGACATGCTTTGATACAGTGCTACAGTTATATTGCAGTGTGGACAAACGTTCCTATCAGTACATGAAGTGATGACTGTACTCACCTTTAACGTCGTGAGAGTCCGGTTCTTCGATAACCCTTTGATGATTTCCAGTAAAGCTGCAGCACTGATTCGGTTTGAGGATATATCTAGTGACGTAATAGTGTTGTTCTTCATTAGCATATCACCAAGGGCAACCGAACCCTCGAATCCAAATCCATTCCAGGACAGGTTTACAGTTTGTATACATGTGTTTGTCTGGAAAGAAGCAAAATATTTTGATTGATGTAAATGAAAACAACAACTGCAACCTTGAACGCGAAGTAAAAACCCTCCTCAAGATCACCTGGACACCACTTCCACAGTTCCATTCTGGACACCACTTCCACAGTTCCATTCTGAGTGCAATACACCAGGAGGAAGCAGTAGTGTTGGTAACTTACCATATCTGTAGGAAGATGGGGATGGTGAGGTCACGCACAAAAGAAGATGTGACCGAGAACTGTTCTGGAGTATTTTTCATAATTCATGTAGTGCTATCATAGAATGCTCTGGACTATCGGAGCTGAGACAAGTACACCTTTCTACGTGTATAGGAACTAACGCTAACCTCCAAGCCCTTAGCTATACTGATGGCTCCCTTCTGCCTCAGGTGGTTCCAGCTCATGTCTAGTTCTTCCAGATGGCGATTCTTTACTGCAAGACACAACATGGAGAATATAAGCATGGTGACTGTATCTCTGTGCTGCTACCTAGAAACTATCTGGACCTGTCGCAGAGCTATGGGCTGTTCCAGAGCGTTTTCTGAACAAATTCTGTATTCCAAAGTTAAATGCTTTAAAATTAACCAGTGAAGATCCGGGTTAGAATTGGTCTTCAGCAACCCATGCTTGTCGTAAGAAGCGACTAACGGGATCGGGTGGTCAGGCTCGCTGACCTGGTTGACACATGTCATCGTATTCCAATTGCGTAGATTGATGCTCATGCTGTTGATCACTGGATTGTCTGGTCCAGACTCGATTATTTACAGACCGACGCCATATAGCTGGAATATTGCTTGGTGCTGCGTTGAACAACAAACCAACCAAAAACATTAAAAACATGGGTACTGTCTTGGACGTTGAATGCTACTTACCTAATGCAGCACCAATGATCTTCCCACCAGCTTCTCTCAGCTCGTTGTGGGCGAGGCGGAGACGACTGAGTGAGTTGTTTTCCTGCCACAGAGTGAGGCACGTGAGTATGAAGATAACATAACGGTGAGGGACTGTATAGGTTCTATATGAATTGACTTTGAGAAACGTCAATTGCTATTTATTGATAGTTTTAAGAGAAAAGTGAAATACAGAATAATTTAAACGTGATATTAGAACCTTGTTGTAATGTATGCATTTCTCTCGACCCCAACAGTCGGAACCATATTATTACCGACCCCACAAAGCTGTTAGCCGTGTCCCGTTAGTCATATCCCGTTAGTCATACTTAGTCATATCCTGTTAGTCCATATGGTCTGGACCCCGAGAGTCCGTATCCCGTTAGTCCCTACCTGGGCCCCGTTATCCACAGCGATCGTAGCGCTACGACTGTCGTAAGTCTATGTTAAAGTATGGGAGTTACGATCATCTTGGCGCTACGACTGTCGTAAGTCTATGTTAAAGTATGGGAGTTACGATCATCTTAGCGCTACGATTGCTTTGAGGAACGGGGCCCAGGTAAGTAATGACTCCGTAAGTTCGTATTGCCTCTATCCCCACTGTCGTACGTCAACACCTCGTTTGTTCGTGCACTACGAGGGGCGATCAAAAAGTATGTAGAATCACCAAGAAAACGATACAAATGCAGTTATTTTTATGTTGTATTTTTCTACATATTATCTGTCAAGCTCAAGCAATTTGGTTTTGCTATGTTCCAGTCTCACGATCCCCATTTTGTTTGACCTTTTATCTTGGTACCCTCAAAAAACGCAAAATCTACAATAAATGCATCAAAAACTTCAGGAAACAAAATATGCAAGAAATATTTTGTGTGTTTGAGATTGATAGAAGTCCCCTAGAATCACACTTAGATATTAAAGTTCATAAAAAGCAATTTGAAATTACAATCGCTTGTTAAAGTGACTCCCCCTTCATGTTGACTGAAAGAGCTTGTTTTGGAGACACTACCCATCCCCTTTCAGATGACGTAATCATAAGGGCATAGCTTATTCTAATGTTTTCACTTATGCATACATGATGCCAAGGGTTCAAACTAAATACTGAATGGTCACACAAGTGTCAGCTCACAATATATTGTAAACAGTGCCAGCTTGAATATCTGGACACAATGTTTTTGAAAGATTAAAATGGGGGTGTCCTTAAAAAATAGCCCCCGACTAAATATAAATCAGGCAATCCAAATCTTTGACTGTTGATCATGACGGGAAGTCATCCAATACTATACTGAACATATTTTATATGACATTATCTGAGGGCATACCATTATCCAAGAGGTACCAAAAGACAAATCGTTTTTCATTTTCTGCAATTTTGTTAGAAATATTATACCCCAATGTGTTGTGATGACAAATATCTGGTTAACCACATTACCCACACATGTGAAATTTTGGATATGGCTTTGCTAACGATTCCTTCAAAATAAAATGGAAGCTTTTCAAACATTGGACATCGAGAATATAGTTAGGCTACGTACTTTTGATCGACCCGTGTAGCTTTCACATATGTATGTTCGAGAGACTACTGACATATAAGCGGTCAAGCTCTGTGAGTTGGCTGACTGCGCATGTCGTCGGTTCAAGATGGCTTTAATGCTCATGCTCTCAATCATTGGTTTACCTGGTCCAGGTGGGACTATGCGCAGGCAGATGAGATACAGCTGAATGGTTGCTTACTGCGATATAAAAACAACATTCACTCAACCGAAAGCTATGTATACACAATGTTATTTAAAAAGTGGTCAAATGTGACATGATATATTTTGGATTGCTCTGTCTGAGTAAAGTACAGATGCTAGTACTTTTGTTAGACTGAGTCACATCCGGAATCCGGAATCCAGGATCCCAAATATAACATATGTAATATTCACTCACTCACTGTGTGTGCGTGCGTGCGTGCGAGTGTGGCACGGATTTCGTGTTCTCTCACCTACCACTGTGCACACCTCAGACTGAGACAAACGAACCTTGTGTACAGAAGTCTCACCTGTACAGAAGACTCACCTGTACAGAAGACTAACCTGAGATGTCTATATCAGTGACGTTGTCACATCGTCGCAAGAAATCCGCCAACTGACGGATACCGGTTCCCGAGAGTTCATTGTTTGACAAGTCCTGAAACATGTTTATTAAAACCATATATTTTTGTTTCATCAATTAAATTTGTATAATGAGGCTAGGCTAGTTGAAGTTCATATCAAGAACAAACCCGTGAAGATCCGGGTTAGAACTGGTCTTCAGTAACCCATGCTTGTCGTAAGAGCGACTAACGGGATCGGGTGGTCAGGCTCTCTGGCTTGCTTGACACATGCCATCGTATCCCAATTGTGTAGATCGATGCTCATGATGTTGATCACTGGATTGTCTGGTCCAGACTCAATTATTTACAGATTGCCGCCATATAGCTGGAATATTGCTGAGTGTGGCGTTAAACAAACAAACAAACAAACAAACAAACAAACAAACACTGACCAGCACACAAACATTGGTCCTCTTCTCCAGGACTGCAAGGACATACTCGAACTCCTTCCGTCCTACGGTGTTGCCGGACAGGTCAAGGTGCCACATATGTCTCTCGTACTGGACAACACAGAAAGATCTTACAGTAATACAAACAAACATACTTCAAAGTACAGGAAATTGCCAACAGAGTCCAAACCCTGTTCAACTTGCTACAAAGATGTGATTACCGTAAGTCCATGTCGGTGGAAGGGGAGGTAATTCAGTCGTGACGCCAGCACCGCTCTGTTGAAAGGGCCATGTTGCCATAGATAAACATTCAGTATAGGTTAACGATTCATTTAGTCCTTGCATTGACCAGAGACCATATAATTATATGGTCTCTGTATTGACTAACTCTTCATACTACAACAGTGATCATACCGTTATATAAGCATAACAAACAAATTGCTCTTGAATTACCCACTCAGCTAATGCAGTGGATGTGACAAATTAGAATATGCTATTCACATTACAGACACAACACGCAGCCATAACACTTGGCGGTATAATTCAGTAAAGGCAGTCATTATGGTAAAGATATCTACGCCTTACAGTTATAATAAGAAGAGGTAAAACAAGTTTTACCGGTTCAGAAAGAAATATTTATGTTACCTAATCAAATTTTAATTATGCAAGTTTCCATCGACAATATTAAAAATAATCACCCATGCACACTTTATAACGTGGACAATGGTGATAAGAATGAGTGAGTGTGGTTTTACGCCGCTTTTAGCAAAATCACCGCGGGGGACTCGAAATAGTCTTCATACAGTTTATCCACATGGGGAATCCAACCCGGGTGTTTTGCTTTTATCCCCTTGGTTACCTTACCGACCCCGCAATGTGAATGAGTGAGTGAGTGAGCATGGTTTTACGCCGCTTTTAGCAATGTTCAAGCAATATCACGGCGAGGGACTCCAGAAATGGTCTCCACACACGTTATCCATGTGGGGAATCGAACCCTGGTGTTCTGCGGGCGCTTGTGCCCATTTAGCTACCCTACCACCCCGCAGTGTGAATGAGGTGAGATGGGATGGGTCAAGAATATCGCACTTATTGAACGATGTACATGCACCCATGCCTGCAGCTGCTGCTAGCTGGCACTATGCCCGGCCCATGCCAATTTTATTGCTATGGTGGAGTAAAACACAATAAACCTGACTCATACAGAATATACTGACTCTCGACCATGACATTTCCTATTACTATCCCATTAATTGGTTGGTTTGTTGTTTAACGCCGCACTCAGCAATATTCCAGCTATATGGCGGAGGTCTGTAAATAATCGAGTCTGGACCAGACAATCCAGTGATCAACAGCATGAGCATCGATCTACGCAGTTCGGATACGACATGTGTCAACCAAACAGCGAGTCTGACCACCCGATCCCGTTAGTCGCCTCTTACGACAAGCATGGGTTACTGAAGACAATTCTGTAATGGTAAGCCGCGACCGGGGATCGAACCACCCACCTCCCGCTCTCCGTGAAGAGCGCTATCCACTACACCACGGTACAGTAAATTGGGAGGATTGGAAGTATACATCCATTATATTATTTCCAATATAACATTTATTTTTAAAGTTTATTTATGAGTGAGTCAGGGGCATGTGGTACGTGACAGGTGCCGTCAGCTGATGTCACGTGACGTACCAGCAACGCCATGCACAGCGCCTTCATCTCCTTGGTGGAGAGGGCGAAGTCCCGGAAGCACAGGTCTATGGAGCCCAGTTGGCCGACAACTGTACGGAGCTGCACCAGACCAAGACGCTTGCACGCCTTCCTGTAAACTCTCAGAGTCTTGGATTCCTTCACAGTGGTCACAGCCTCTTTCTTGAAGACATCGCTGTAATCTGAAGCAAAATGTTCCATCAGACACGTATATTTACACGAGAAACTATGGAATAACACAGACCATATACTGATATCGGTTACATCACATCCTTTTATATAGTAATAGGATAGGGTCTATATACCTATATGTCTTTCTAACGCTGTTTCTAAACGTGACACGCCCCTGTGATCACATGTACATAGTGAAAGTCGGCGCCACTGTCGTCTGGACCACCAGGGCCCTCAAAACGCCGGTAACAATACGTTTTTATAACAGAAAATATAGTCCCTTGCCAATGAGATAAACCTTGGCCCAATGTTAAACCGGTTTACACGAGAAAACATTCTTCGATTTAAACCACACGTTTCATTTGTTCAGTGTGATGAAAATGTCTGGGACATTGAAGTTGTTCAGATGCCATTTGCAAGATCTGGTTATGGTCCGCCGTGAAGAGATCACGTGATCATGTATTTGTCGCCTGTGACCTATATACACCTTCAATAACATGCATAAACTGATGTGTGTTGAAGGAGAAGTTTGTGACGTATGATAAGACAATAGACCCACAAACACGACCATATTGTATCCCTTGGACGTTTTGTTGTCCGGAGAGAAGAAGAATCATGACAATCGTCATTGTTATTGATTCTCGGGTTTGCGATATCCTCGGGATTTCCTCCCTCATCAATCTTACCGCTGTGGTGAAGCTGAAATCCTGCTTAAATCGTGGGAAAGTTCAGAGAAAACAAGATCTGCAAGTTTTTCAGTTTGGGTAATTTGAGGATGGGTATCAGGTTTTACTTGACAATTTCTTAGTGAATTACTTCACCCGCATCGCTCTACATTTTACTACCCGTGGATGGTCATTCTACATGTTGACATCATTAAAGATGGACAGTATTTCCTCTAATAAGCGTCCAGACAATTATTCTTAAAACGCGTTTCAAACCCGGGGGGGTAAGTCGGGCCCGACATTAATTAGAGACTGGGGCTTCTTAGTTCTACAAGGATGTTGAATAAGCGACATTCCCAAATAAACTTACATACAACAGAAGTATATGTTCTTCATACAGTCCACTAGAGAAGCGTGTTTTATTATGTTGTACGCTGCTTCATACTGGAGGCCGGAGCTTGATTCAGTGAAGGAGAGAATGCATGTATTTTTACTCCGCTTCTATCAATATCTAAGCTATATCACGGAGGTGAGGTGAAATTGGGTTGAACGTCGTGCTTCAGAATATTTCGCTCATATGACGACGTGCATGCGTGTGTATGTGTATGTGCAGCTGCTTGTACTAGCCCAGACTGAAGCTAGTTTTATAGTGCTAGCCCACTGAGATACCATGCCACAGTGAAGCATGAAGATCTCACTCAGACACATTATACCGACTACGAGCCGACCAGTCCTTGATGTACCCATTAATGCCGAGCGCCCGGCAGGGACCAACAAGTACCATATTTTAACGTCTTTTGGTATGACGCGGCCGGGGATCGAACCCGCGACCTTCCGCTCTCCGGGAAGACGCTCTAACCACTACACCACAGAGGCGGTCAAGCTATATCACGACAGAGTACATTAGAAATTGGCTTCATCCATTATACCTATGTAGAAAATAGAACCGGTGTCTTCACAGTGCCTAGCGAACCCTTTCAATACTAGGCTAGGAAATACGGTACAATACACTACGGTTATAACGAACTTAAAGGGACGGCTAATTTTAGTTCGGTATAACCGTGGTTCGTAATATCCATTTCGAGTGAAAAATGAAGAAAATCGACGAGGGGAAAGAAACAGTTCGACATATCGGTCAGTTCGTTACAAGCGTATTCGTTTTAAACGTAGTTTACTGTGTTTAGTTTATATATACTTGATTGTAATAATTACCATCCTCATAGTCCGGTGACACGGTGACCTCGGGTTTCACTACCTCCAACACGGGTTGTGTGAGAGCTCCGTGCACCGTTTTGTCCGCCATTTCAACATCCACAGTTGCTACGGTGACTGCTGAGGACACGCTCTCAACCCATTTTTCTAAATCTCGTGCTTTCTCGGACCTGAGAACGGGCTGTGACGAAAGACTGTTCACCACCCTAGGCATGTCACAGGATACTCCAACAATCAACTGGTCGTAGATGCTTCAAGCATGGCACCCTTCTGTGGAGAAAGACGGTACACAATAGTGAGTGAGTGAGTTTAGTATTACGCGACTTTTAGCAATATTCCAGCAATATCTCAGCGGGGAAGACCAGAAATAGGCTTCACATATTGTACCCATGTGGGGAATCGAACCCGAGACCTTCGGCGTGACGAGTGAACTCTTTAACCACTAGGCTACCCTCACCCTCACCCTCACCCTCACCCTCACCCTCACCCTCACCTCACCCCTCACCCCACCCCAACCCAAACCCCAACCCACACCCCACACCCGTTCGGGACACAATGAATGATAAGACGTCAACATCGCAAGTCGGCTTTGTCGAAATACACATATGTCGAAGTTACACTCGTGCCGAATAGTCGGAATTTGGGCGGACGCTTCGAGCAAACGTTATTTAACTATTTGATTTGGTCGGAATTAGACAAAATCCTGTCCAGTTATACGCTTTCGTAAACTTGATGACGAAATAATCCCTCTGATTCGTCACATGGTCGCCTGGTGTGCCGTTTTGCCAGCCATCGGGAGATTGGTTTGTTGTTTAACGCCGCACAGCAACATTCCAGCTATATGGCGATGGTCTGTAAATAATCGAGTCTGGACCAGACAATCCAGTGATCATTATCATGACCATCGATCTACGCAATTGGTATACGATGACGTGTCAACCGAACCTGGACATCCGATCCCATTAGTCGCCTCTTACGACAAGCATGGGTTACTGAAGACCAATTCTAACCCGGATGTTCACGAGTCTTGCCCACCATTAATACGCCTCGTTAAGCACTGGAGGTCAGTACTGCTACCAGTAATCTCATTACCCTTGAATCTGGATTTATACCACTTATTTGCTTAAGATTCAAATTATCGCTGGACATGGATTAGGAAGTAATCAGTTTAACAATAATGGTAGATGAACATACTTTGGCTTCCTGTAGTATGGAAAGTCGAGTTTGTGTATGATACATTCACTCGACCTGTAAATTACTTTGATAGCGTAACTGCATTTCCTTAAATCGAAATTACGAGTATTTTCCTTGGTATTTCATTTAATTTTTACTGAGCCACATTATTTTTCCCTTCCGCCTAGCCCTCCCTGCAATGCTAAAGCTCTTAACTAAACAAGTCTAGATTTCCTCACGTTCTCATTCTCTCATCTCACTAGAGTTCCGTTTCAATTCAAATGGGATTTTTTGGTTACTATCAAAATTATCTTTATTCAGCGTTAAGCTATTGGTCTTTTCATGCCTTCAGTTTCTGGTTAAAGTTTAAAACTTTGTCTGTCCCAGATCCACCGTTACATGCCACCCGGATACAGCTTTGATATTACCGACTCAAGCTTTTAACGTCACTCACTCACTCACTCAGCACACTGACTACAAACAGATCGCGGAATGAATCTGTTATGTTTCAACGGGCAACGGCATACGAAGTCAATGAATTACATAAAACAGTTGATGAAGGAGTGTGTTATGTGGTTCTCCATTAGTACTCCACCAGTAGTGTTTGCTCTACTGTGTACCCAGCTGTGAAATCTCTGGCAGTGATTGGTACATAAATATAGAAGCCCTCTGCCACCAGTGGACAACAGGACTAAGCCGTGTAACTGTAGTTCGTGGTGAGTAATGCCAACAGTAAGCAATGTCCTACGTAAGCTGAGATTTATCATATGCAAAGACTCGAAGGATCTGGAGTTGGATTGCTGTCAAAAAGTCTTGTTTTGAAACAGGATTTGCTGAGCTGACTGATTTCATGCCCGCGAGGATTTCCTTCCTTCAGCACAGAAAGGACTTCATTTAAACACATAGATTTGTAATATGACGATGTATGATCTTACAGTATATTACAAGTTTGGTCTTTGATTAGAACATGGCATTCTCAACTGGATTGGGCATTAATGATTACATTATGTGGGTAGGTTGTACACATAAAAGATCCAAATGTCTATCTATACGTGTATATGTTATACTGAACTTTCAAATGCATACTTACAATTCTAAATATACACTGAAGTTTCAAATAGAAATCTACAAACCTGAATATAATTAATACACACTAAGGTTTCAAATGCATGTTTACAACTCTAAATGCAGACTCACATTAGATTTTGCAAAATACAACTGGAAGTTTAGACACTCTGAAGATCACATGTACACTCTTAATTCAGATGCACAACTTACTGTAATTTAGATAAGCTGAGAGTACGAATATTCTTGTAACAAATACACTCTGGGTTATTGTGCTATATCATACCAAGAAATTGAAATGATAGTAACAGATATATCACATGGTATGAAGTATATATCAAGTTGACAACACAATTAATAACTAACCTGATTCAGAAACTAATAAAATCACGTAGCATTGATGCAGACAGGGCGAATGTCAAACCCCAAGAATCCTGGAAATACTGTAACAGCACAAACTCCATTCCTGATGTCATAACATGCCAATATTCCTAGTAGCGTGCACCTATATAACTCCCGGCGTTGATATGACCTTTCGCCGCCGCCAGTGCATGTCCACTATCATGGATAATCGTTGGAAGCCGTACCCGCGCACAGTAGGGTTATTAACGCGTACAATCTATTGTTTGGGAGTAAACATAATGTTCAGGTGCCCTTATATAATCGCTACGTAGGCCTTCGTGAACGTGCCGCCATGCTGACATTATTACAGGTGTTAGACAAGGCCGTATTCTTTGCCTATGTGTTTTACGCAATATGACGCAGTTTTGCCAAATTATTTTAAACAGCTATGTAAACAGCAAGGTAATATCGCTAGGCCGTTATTGTCGTGTCTTGTACATATATAGGGAACACCTTTTAATCCGGACCGCATTATATCGAACAATGCGATTCGTCAACCTCGGCAATCGGGAAATTTCACTGAGAACGATGTCGTCCGCATAAACGGGGTTCCACTTTACAGAAAAACTGTTATTATATATGTTTCTGATTTTACTCTTTATTAAGTTTGCAAATATATTGTATTTCTATATTCTTTAAAAGCTAATTTCCGGAATTTGGTTTGGGACCATGCGGTTGCTTCAAGCAACATTCATATGTGATCAGCTCTATACTGAATCTGCGTAAAGATACACCGTTGGGAAAAGAAAATATACACCCTGTTTGGTCGTGGTTTAAATGATTGACTGACAGTGTATCCTGACAAAGTTGTACGGTGCTTATGCAATCAACCATCGGTTTGCCTTGCTTGCATCGTTGTATAGAGGTCGTTGTACAGAGGTGGGAGCTGAAGTATTGCTAACTTGCAAGGTGGAAAATAGAAATACATTTGTAATGGTTACGACGAATAGCTAAGCTGAAGTTATAGTTATACTATTAAGATACAAAACAGTCCAGCAAGGTGGAAAATAGAAATACATTTGTAATGGTTTGCGACGAATAATATGCTATAGTGGTATTACACAGGAAAAGGTGCCCCGAAAACCTGGACTCAAGTCACGCAAATGATCAATTGATATGGACTTCAATAAACTCGAGAAAAGCACCCCATTTTGGCTTGTTTAAACTACCAATCTATTAAAAAGTGTAATATATAATATAAAGGATATACATCATCACGAAAATTACCGATCATAGTCACGGAAATTACCGATCGTATCGGGTGAACCGGTTCGCGAAAAGTGTACCGCAATATATCGTATTGTGAAGTTCGAATTGCAATATACCGGTTAACCGGTATTATCGCCCACCCCTAATATTTAATAAATGAAAATAAGTTGGATTACAACCTCTGTAATAGTAATAATAGTTCCAGTTTAATATATGAATTTGTCTTATTCTTATACTACATACGGAAGTACACTGCCCTAAGTATATAATGAGTTATTAACCTAATCCCACGTTAGGTAACAAAAGCTGTTAATAACTTCGACTTACGCACTGAGGAGTAAAACATCGTATCCTGACACAAAATGAGCAGATATACACGGTAAAATAGAGTGAGTGAGTGAGTATGGTTTTACTCTGCTTTTAGCAATATTCCAGCAATATTACAGCGGGGGACACCAGCAATGGGCTTCAGATATTGTACCTATGTGGGGAATTGAACCCGGGTTTTTGGCGTGATGTTAAAATAGAAATATGACTACTGAACCGAAGGATCTTGTACAATGACCTTCGTTGTATAAGGTCTAAAGTTGTCTTCATCTTTATCATAACAATCAGAGAAATGACCTTGGGTTACCTTTATCAGAACTGTAGAAGTAAGGAAGACGTTGATATAATGCTTAGAACAATGCGTTGTTCCAGGGATACCTTTTCACGGCCTTTTCATAATGCTGCAAATTCCTTTAACGGCATGGCCATGTGACACGCACATCTCACTCATGGTGTATACATGAGTGAGTGTGGTTTTACGCCGCTTCTAGCAATATTCCATCAATATCACGGCCGGCGACACCAGAAATGGGCTTCACACATTGTACCCATGTGGGGGGAATCGAACCCGGGTCTTACGCGTAACGAGCCAACGCTTTAAGCACTGCCACACCGCCCCATCATAATGTATAAAATATACACAAAGCATACAGTGTGAGGCTGTATCATTCTTCATTCGGAACTGCTCGATTACGATCGTTTTCTGAAATACAGAAATCTGATTTGCTGAATGTCTCACTCGTTCGCTCCATAAATTTCGAAGCCTCCAGTTTGAATGGTTGATTGGCCCTTCTAATGAGGTGACCTCGTCTGATGTTTGAATTATTATCATTTTAGCAGGGAGTTTATAGAATCAGAGATTAAAAAATCGGAATGAAATGAGACTGGATATTGATGTGTAACTACGCTCCCTCCCGACTCACTCACTCACTCACTCACTCACTCACTCACTCACTCACCCACCCACTCACACTCACACTCACTCACTCACTCACTCGTGCGAAAGTTTTGCTGCTAAGATCCCTCAAC